GACTCTTTTGAAGGACGTGCGACGACTGCCTTAGTTTCTTGATTTTTTCGTTGTTGAATCGATGAAATCGAGAGATTAAGTCGAGAGGTGATGAGAAAGCATCGTTGTTAGGCCTCAGAACTTAACAGATGTTTTGCTCCCAGATGCGAAAGTTGACAGTTATTTAACGAGATTATAGTTACAATGTGACGTTATGAATAAATGACGTAAACATACTAAAAGTCAGGAGTCAGATCCTCACATATAACACATTTATTAACAATATAATCCAATTAAAAATTTCCTTTGTCTCAACATAGATGAAGGAAATCCTTTATCCCGTGCAGCTGGGCCCCACTAATTTTAGCTGAAGGGTTTCCTTTATCTTATTTCATTGAGTAAATAGCTTGATAAAGCTACTAGCCACTTGATAAATAGACTGCAGTTATGATCACCTGACTAGTAGATTCCAGGCGGTGGTTGTGCGACTGAAATAGTTACCGGGCTGAGAATTTTTTACAACCAAGATAAGCAAAAGTATCGACAGCTTGTGCTGGGATTAGTTAAAACTTGTCACAACCGAAGTGTGTAGTCTATGTTTTCCATCCGATTTCCAAAAATTAAAATTAAAAGACAAAAGAAAAATTAAAAATACAGAGAGAAATCGAATTGGGGATATTATGGACAGAAAGCCAAAATGGTAATCGCAACAGTAAGGCAAATTATCAAAGATTCTTTAGACTGCAAGATCTAATTCAGAAATTCAATGCTGACAGTATCGAAATAAGTAAATACAAATTGAAATAAGCTGGAAACATTTCCGGGAGAAAATTAGGGTCCGTAGAGGTTCCTACCGTTATAAAATTATTATTTTTTACTAATAAAAAATAAAATCTTTAAGACTGTTTTTATTAATAAGAATCAATCTACGTATTTCATTTGAAAAAAAAACAAAAAACAGAAAACAAAAACAATGGCAAGAGGGATCCGTTAAGAGACAAAAGAGGTGGGCTGTGACCCTGGACCCCATACAAGTTCTCAGCGGCCCTGATTATGTTTGAACAGCAAGACCAGAAATTAGGAATTAGTTTTGAAAATTAATTACACATCAGATTGTGTTGGTGACGTAGCTTAAAACTCGCAAATGAGGAGAACCAGCCAAAGGTGTAAAGAACTTTTCCTAAGAAAATTTGAGTCCAGAAAAATTCCAACATAAATTTAGGACTCGAAAGGAGTTGAAAAGATTTGTAAAGATTGAACTTAAAACATACTGTAGTGAGTAAGTAAAAGATTCTGGAGACGATTAAGTGTAATACATTATTAGATCTGTTTATATCAAACCGGATGAAGGAGCAAATATTGGAAGATGTATTTTATCGATGAATAAGCCGAGATCGTATCCACGAAGTGATTAGCCGAATTGCTCGACAAATATGATAGCATTAAGAAATAAAGATCTAAAGCTCGCGAGAAAGAAACTAGTCGTGCAAATAACCTCAGGTAAATCTGATTAGGTAAACCTCTATAATAGTAAAGCTATTATAGAGCTTCTTCCGAGTAAGAAAGTTTTGAAGAATGTCGGATAACTGTGTTTCGAATATGGAACAGTGAATAAAGTAATTGTGGATCAGAATGAATAATATTTATCATCATACAAGGTTATCACACAGATGAATGGACATACCACCAACCTAACTAGAAATTCAAAAGCCACTATTAATTTGATACCAAAAGACTATATTACGGATTAGATGCTTACAAGAGAAACGGTATGGTTAACCCTTACCGAAAAATTACATTTCGTGCTCGCAGCTGAAGTAACAGAAGAATTTGGCGTGATCAAAACTAAAGTTGCAGTTATACCAAGTACAATACATTAAATTGAAGTCGATGTTTGTTGAACAATAGAACTATGACATTGTAACCAGATATCTGTAAACAAATACCTACTGTAGAAACTATCGGTGCGGTATAAACCCATTCATAAATTATGACAGCTCAGACAGGTTGTAAAGATAAAAGAAAAAACAAAAAAAAAAAAAAACTGATAGAGAAGTCGATTCGAGTTTCATTAATGCCACGTTAGAGATACCTTTTGGATTGGAAATAGGAAATAGTAGTACCAAACATAAATTGGAACAAGCTTTTGGCTATTATGATATTCTGAAAAATGTTTCAGTTGCTTGTAGCCCTCCAGAATTTGCTTTGTAGAATTTGAAGATTCNAAAGTTTTGTAAATTCCAGTTTTTGTTTTGAATTTTACTAATAACAGTTCAAGAATTTTTGTGCTTTGTTTCAACTAGCTAAATATAATTTTATTATTTTTTTTCCTTAATAATTTTATATAAAATAGAATAAAGCAACTACTTTGCATCTATTCATACATCATACAAAATAGAAATAAAAGAAATGTGAATGTTAGAATGGATACGTGAAATAACAAATGAAACCTGAATAAGGAATGAGTACATAAAAGACAGCTTAGGAATAATTAAAATCAGCAAGAATATGCAAGAAAACTGACTAAACCCACAGTATCCAATTATTGATCTGCTTCTTAAGGTAAAGTCAATCACGTATACGATGAAGGTGGACCAAGAGAATGGAAATGATCACAGAGAGTACGAAGCATCCAATTACTATCTGAAAATTATGCAGCGATCAAAACATTTGCACAGANGTTAGAGATACCTTTTGGATTGGAAATAGGAAATAGTAGTACCAAACATAAATTGGAACAAGCTTTTGGCTATTATGATATTCTGAAAAATGTTTCAGTTGCTTGTAGCCCTCCAGAATTTGCTTTGTAGAATTTGAAGATTCTAGAGATGCTAGAGATTATATTAGAACACTAGATGGAAAAAATTTGTGTATACGCAGAATCAGAGTAGAAATATCACCTAGTTAAATCCAAGGACTTACTAGGTGATATTTCCACTTATGGACCCTTTTCTGAACCCTTCCTCTTCCATTTCGTCCAGAGGATAAATGTTATAATTGTGAAAAAAGGTCATTTTGCAAGAGATCGTAAGTGTGTTATGTGAAGACATTCAAGATCTTGTTCTCGTGGACTTTCTACTAGTTTCAGCGAAAGCCTCTGAGAATCCGGTATCGAATCCGTCCATGAGTGAAAGGTGCTGTGAGTGCATTTTGAGTTCAATTCATGACAACTTCAAATTGGGTAGCTTGGTATTTGTGCGAAATTCAGAAGAGCCACAATATTTGAAAAATATCAAAAACAAGGTTACAAAAGTAATCTTGGTATTTCTTTGTTTTAATAAAAACCATGTCAGAATATTATTTAGCAAGAAAAACACTCATTTGGCTCAGGCTTCAATTTACAGAGTTGAATTGCTTACATTCCTGTTTCAATACTTTTCCTTTTCAATAAAATATATAAAGAAAATCAGATCTAAAACCAAAGAAGATATCAGAAAAACCCATATGAATTGGGTTTCAAATTTTGACTTTGTGTAACTTTGTTCTGACATTTTTTTTAGCAATATACACGTATGAAGAATCTCAATCTTCGTATCACTTTAATTAACCACGTAACCTGCATCACAATTAAAATAAGCATTTAATTTGCATTTACACTTTAAATTAATTCTCTTTTTATGTAATGAACTTAATTACAGTATTTATTTTTATTTTTGAAACATTTGCTTTTTTTTTTAAGTAATCATAAAGTAATGGGAGTATAACCTTAAAATTCATCAAAACAAAAATATTATTTTAAATAATAAAATAAATATTTATATATAAACTTATAATTTAACATAATTAATAGTCTATTTAATATAGAAACTTATAAATTTTAGACATTTAATTTATAATTAATTTTGAAAAAAATTTAAATGAAATTCAATTAATCTCGCAGCCAAGAGTGCATTTTTGAATTCTGCATAAAATCTCGTACGAAACGAGAATTGAGGAGTAATCCAAAAGAAGGCACGCGCTAGATCATGCAAAGGTAAGAGACAGAATTTTAATTATTACGTCAGAATATGCAAACAATTAACTCATTTAGCATAGATTCGCCATTTAAAATTCTAAGTTATGTCATTTTGTTATTTTACAAATTTAAATGTCTGAAGAATAATTGCGCANCTATTCATATATCATACAAAATAGAAATAAAAGAAATGTGAATGTTAGAATGGATACGTGAAATAACAAATGAAACCTGAATAAGGAATGAGTACATAAAAGACAGCTTAGGAATAATTAAAATCAGCAAGAATATGCAAGAAAACTGACTAAACCCACAGTATCCAATTATTGATCTGCTTCTTAAGGTAAAGTCAATCATGTATACGATGAAGGTGGACCAAGAGAATGGAAATGATCACAGAGAGTACGAAGCATCCAATTACTATCTGAAAATTGTGCAGCGATCAAAACATTTGCACAGAAAAGTCCAAAAAATCAAAATTATGAAAATTAATCCCAGATAGGAAAATTTTGTAAAAAAAAACATAATTGAATATCATCATCAAATCAATGATCAAATCATTTGATAAATATTACTGAAGACACAAAAAAATTAATAATTATCTCAACAATCAGTTGGTAGAGATATAATGCTTTACAAACTGCAATGGAGCCAAGTAATTGCAATCACATCACTAAAGACTTTTAATAATGAAATGCATTTGTGGCATGATATCTCTACCAATTGTCTATTGAGATACTTAATGTTTTAGAGGCAAGAAGCTTACAAATATACAAAAAAAAGAATGTTGATTCTTCTAGAAAGTCTTGCATTGACAGATTACCTTATTCTTATTTGTTTATTTTCTCAGTAGAAACATATAAAAAATTTAATTTACGTTAAAAACTCATTAAGAATAGAACATTTATGAGTCAATGTATTAATTAGAAAACTTCTCTTAATTTAAAGAAGATAATGTGATTAGCCAGGTGCATATAAATAATGATCTGTTCCTAAATAAATAATTTCACATCAAGATATTTATTAATTAAATAAACGAGAAATGTACAGATTCTTCATTACTTACTTTGTAAATGAAAAACACCAACAGAAAACCTGGCAAGTTCTGGGATTTGATTGACCAATTCTTCCGTTATCAGATGGCATCCTCTACTAACAGACAACAAATTTATTTTCTTTTGAAACCACGCCGATCCTTGAATAACGTTGATGCTGTTACTGCTGGAAGCAGCCATGACACTTTGAGTTACAGAGCGCCCAGCGGGTTGCCAAATGCTTTTCACGAAAAGCAGCGGTAGCATGATTTAATAGTTGTAGAATTCGAAGTAGCCCAAAATAACGTTACCAGATTGTCATTAGTGTCAACCCCTATGAGGTCATCTATAAGTGTTGACTTCCGCAAATATGCAATTGTGGCCTTAAAGAAACTTACGTAGTATGGATATGGACGTTTTATTTTAATAAACAATTTAAAATTTAAAATTTAAAAAAAGTTAAAAAGAGTTTAGAAATTATTAGATACAAAATAATCCGTAAATAATTTATAGTCTAAATTTAAACTTCTACCTATTTAGGTAAGATTCTAGCTCCAAATGAGGTTAGACCCATCTGGGGACTACCTCCTCGTTCAGAGCTAGAATTTTATCCGTATTTAATTTAGGCCCGCCAGTATTTCTTTGAATAATACAAGGTAAGGCAAAAGTCCAAAAACATCGTTTTATCTCAATTAATGTTGACAAAATTGACTTTCCATGTGCCAAGATAGTAATTAATAGTGATTTTGATGAAGGAGGGCATTTGCATTCGCCATCTTGAATGCAACTCATAATTTTCAAGTGTGAAGTGGGTTACGCCGTAGATCAATTAAGCATAGAATCCACTCAGAAATCCAATAGAAGCATCGATTCTGGTCTAACTTTATTCGTTTAGGAATTATTTAAACCCCAAAATCCAGGGCCTGCTTTACCTAGGCCATCGCATAGGGCGCTAACCTTATTTATAAACAAAGAAAAGAGAGATCGTAAAATCTTTACGTGCTTAAGTGCAGAAGGCCACAATTAACTATATACGAACTTCCAGTTAGCACCGGAAGTCAGGTTATTTTAATTTAAACATTTTCTCCCGAACGGAATTAGATAGATGACCGGCATGACTGTTGTTTTCAGGAAGAGTATGATGCACAGGGGAAAACTATTAAAATAGAGACTATTATTAAATATATTTCATTTCATTTCATTATATTTATTCAATATAAGTTATTTATAACAACATGTTTTTACCAATCATTATTAACAAATAAAAATCAAAAACCATTCTTTATAAATTCTAACAATCACAAATGGATCTCTGTCATCTAATAGAAAATGAATCAAAGCGATTTAAAGAAAAAAAAGGTTTTTTAAGTAATTGGTTTGATCAAAGATTCAAGAAATGCACAACCAATATAACTAAGATGCTTTCCATAAAAGACATAAAGAAAATCTTTGCAAAAAACAAGTGAGTGTTACTTTTTGCTTTATTAATTTAAAAATTAGTCATTTCAACAATTAAATTAACAATTTCATTAATTGTTAACAGAGAAAAACCACATGAAACTACACAACTCTGGCGCAATATAACATCCGAAGAAGAAAGAGATGGATCATCCAACAAGTGGTATAGATTCAAAAGCGTTAACGTTTCTCTTGAATCTGGAGATAGTCAACAGAATCAATGCGATAGTAGTGGTTATGAAATCCTAGAAGCGAAATCCATGGGTGATGCAAAAAACTTGGAAGATGCTTCAACTATTGTGATGACAGAATCTCAATCATCGTGCTCATCTAGTGTCATAACTGTGATTGAAATGATTGAAAATAATTCTGAGGACAATGTTGAGAATTGGAAGGAACCGGAAAGCGTTTCTATACTAGAAGAACAGGAAATTAACAACAGGGAAATGATGTATATACCCATAAGCAATATCGAAATAGAAGTTCCGATCGAAGCGAAATATTTTTATTTGGATCCAGCTCAGATTTGTTCCACTAAAGAAAACTATGAAGAATTAATTACGAATATTTTGAAAGTTGGCGAACAAGAAATAAAGACCAATTTTCGACAAGACACAGCAAAATCTGATGGTACAATCAGATCTCCCAACATTATGGAAATCAATCAACAAATTTTGGAGATTTCTAATGAAACTGAAGAAAAATGTCTTCTTGATCAGCCTGATTATAGTTTTCCAGTACTAAGTTCTGAAAATACTGATTCCAGTGACTGGAAAATCAAATCATTCACTGAAGTGAGATGTGTACAATCTTCTGAAGAAAATGACCAATTGGAATTTAGTGAAGAAAGTAATTACGAAGATTCCACAATTGATTTACAATCGGCAGAAAAATCACTTTCAAAATCTTTGCAATTTCCAGTTCTTTCTCAAAATCAAGAAATTCAATCTAGAGAACCGATAGCAATTTTGGAGAATAGCCAATCTTCTTCGGAAGAATGGTTGTCTGCTCAATCTAAATCGAGCAGCGAATCAAATTGCGAAAGCAAAGAATATCCAACATTTGGACGAACAGAAGTAAATAATTGACATAATATACATGAAAACTTTGTTCTGAAGACAAAGTTTTCATATAATAGTACTTTTAGAGTACAGTAGACCCCTATGACACTTTTGATCATTTCGTTTTATATGAATTCCATGTTGTACGAGTCATTTAGATTTTACAATTACGTGAGCTGTTCACAGCCTAGCACACATATTTGTAAAATCTAAGTGACTCGTACAACATGGAATTAATATAAAACGGAATTATCAACAGTGTTATAGGGGGACTACTGTATTGTAATTAAATACATTATTATATTCTTTCATATAGAGAGCAAATTCCGATACCTGTCAAGTAACTCTCCACAAAAATAATAGTTTTACTTTGGGTTTTGACATGTACGAAAATCTTGGCGAAGTTCGAATAACCGAGAGGTTAACTATGATTCATCCGAAGGATGAAGCCACAAGAAATTTGTCACATGAGAATAAAGAAGAGGAAGAAGAATCTTCGAAGAGAGTAAATGAAGCAAAATATGTGGAATCCACAACAGAAATATTCTACGATGCAACCAGTCCAGACTAATTCAATCCTTCCAAATTGACGAAATTTATAAAATACACTTTTAATAATTTTAATAAATTATTTAATTGTAGCTGAATATATCTTTTTCAATAATCTATCGTTAAATTTTTTTACCGAAACTTGACGTCAAAAATATCGAATTAACAACACATTAAAAAAGCATTTTATGTATTCGAAGCCCAGGTAAACACTTCTAATTATCTAACGATTTATATTTGATGGAGATAACAATATCTGCATATGATCTACCAGATTAAAGTTAGAAAATTGTAAAATAATTTTTAAAAGTTAAGTTATAAAATTGAATTTTATTTTAATTTATAGAAAAATTTGAGTCGTCACATGTATATAGGGGAAGGTGGTGCAAGATGGGGTCATGGGGTAAGACGAGAACGTCTGTTTATTTGTGGTTAATGTGATTTTATCTAACTTATTTGGGGAACTAAATGTCAACCTCAATCGGGATCATGGGACAATAGAACGTCCAAATCGCTCTCTTTGTACGTTTTTCATGTTTCAACAATACTTCATCTAATTTTATGCCTGCTAAAAAGTTTCTAGAAAGTATCATTGTGAACTTTTACATTACCTTTCACGTGAAGATATTATGGTATTCGAAGTAACCTTTAAGACTATAATTGTTTAGTTTTTAAATGAAGTTTACATGTGTTTGCAGTCAGTATGAAAAGTATACGTTGGGTGCAAGATGGGGCTACACGGAGTCTATCCCCAGGTTGGCCATGAATATGGCCTATGAATCCAGAAGAATTTTTGGAGGCAGACTTTATTGCTGCAGAGACGACAAACAGGCCCCTTCAGCAAGGGTAGGCCTAACAAGAAACAAAAGACAAATGACACAGAATGCCTCTATTGTGGAGGGTTATACTCTGTATCTGCAGACAGTTGGGCTAAATGTAGCCGTTGTGATAAATGGGCACACTGTTCTTGTGCCAATATTGAAGAAAACGACAGTTTAACCATTTTAATTTGTCCTTCTTGTATATAAAAATAATATTCCCATCTTACCCCATCGGTAGGGCAAGATGGTGCATTTACATATAATTTTAAAATATTAATTAAATTTACTTGTTTGTAGAAACGTTTTTCAAAAATTAAATTTCGTATAATATATTACCACATGTTGTAGTTGCTGAGAATAAAAAAAATTATTGTTCTCATCAAAGTGGTTGCCATCTTATGACTTTTCAAACCTTAACGTTCTCATCTTGCCCCACCTTAGAAGCAGGGATTAATTCAAATGTTTTCGAGTTCTTGCATCTAATAAATGGGTCTTAAGATGATTTCTCCGTGTTGCACTGACTTTTAAGCATTACTAAATATTTTCGAGCATTACATCCCTCTTCGCAGCAGAAGTCTTTTTTCTCTGCAAGAACTGTACGTATAGTATAGGTCTAAAGATATAACATATGTAAGCTATACGTAAAACAAGTTGACGTTAAGGTCAACTTGTTTTACGTATAGCTTACATATGTTCTAGAGTAAAAGTTCTACAAGTTCTAGAGTAAAACAAGTTGACGTTAAGGTCAACTTGTTTTACTCTAGAACTTGTTAAATTATTATTATCGCAATTACAACTAGCGAGTATTGAGTAGTTTACATTCAAGTTGGGGATCCGTTTTCAGTTTTTAATTCATTTCTGCATTAAAACAAAAGAGTGTGCAGGCGGCATAAAAAACCTGCTATACCGTTTTAAACAGTAGAAAAATATTAATTGCAAAACTTATTTCTAGAATTACCCCGAGGAAGAGTTAAGATAGGGCACATTCCTAAATTAGACGTTTTTAAAATCATCTTACTGTTAGCCAAACGTTCCAAACGTTTTAAACCGGTTTCTAAGTGACGTTCATCAAGCTTCCATTTCGTTGAAACTGTTGCAAATGTTGTATCGATGACGTAGCCAATTATCAATTATTTAAATTAGTATATTATTGGCAGAATAAAATTATATTATTAAGATGTTGCTGTATAACTGTCCTTTTTATTAAATGTCAAATATATTTTTAATGCATCTAGGTGTAAGTGATGCAGGATATAATTTTACTGGAACTTCATACGTCTTTATGAAGTTCTATTTCTGGCATTCTAAACGTTACATGAGAAACTTCCTTTTTCCGTTTCCGTATTTCCGTTTAATGCACTTTAAACAATATGTAGAGTTTAGAAACGCACCACATACAGTATTCTGGAGATCCGCAAGAAAGAACATGTACATGTGACAGAAAAGTCGGCACCTCTTCGATGCCTCGTCAGGATTGACACCACCGCATCTCGATTGACACGGAATCCGCGAAATGGATCACGCGAGTAGTCGCGTAACGGAGCGATCGGGTTCGGGATGGAGTGAGAGACAGCACATCGGAAGTGACTCACGCAGAGGCCTCGTTAATGAAACAACCTTTATTTGTAAAAGACAAGAAATCCGTGTTTGAACAGGGCATCAATAGACATATCTAGACCTAATGTCGCGTTTGAGAGAGAGAGAGTTTACAATAAGAGCGCGTGGCAATAAATACCTTATTGAGGATCTGGTCTTGATCTGGAACGTTCTGGTTGAAAGAGAGGAATTTAGGGATGTCAGTTCGGGGAAATATCCATAAGCCTGATGGAACGTATCCGCAAAGGTGTTCGACGATGGTTTCCGATGATATATTAGAAGGATATAGGAACGTAAAATAAAATGATATATTCACAGATATCCGAATATTGAGGCACTTAGGATAAGGTACGGGTAACAACTGACTCTTTTGAAGGACGTGCGACGACTGCCTTAGTTTCTTGATTTTTTCGTTGTTGAATCGATGAAATCGAGAGATTAAGTCGAGAGGTGATGAGAAAGCATCGTTGTCAGGCCTCAGAACTTAACAGATGTTTTGCTCCCAGATGCGAAAGTTGACAGTTATTTAACGAGATTATAGTTACAATGTGACGTTATGAATAAATGACGTAAACATACTAAAAGTCAGGAGTCAGATCCTCACATATAACATATTTATTAACAATATAATCCAATTAAAAATTTCCTTTGTCTCAACATAGATGAAGGAAATCCTTTATCCCGTGCAGCTGGGCCCCACTAATTTTAGCTGAAGGGTTTCCTTTATCTTATTTCATTGAGTAAATAGCTTGATAAAGCTACTAGCCACTTGATAAATAGACTGCAGTTATGATCACCTGACTAGTAGATTCCAGGCGGTGGTTGTGCGACTGAAATAGTTACCGGGCTGAGAATTTTTTACAACCAAGATAAGCAAAAGTATCAACAGCTTGCGCTGGGATTAGTTAAAACTTGTCACAACCGAAGTGTGTAGTCTATGTTTTCCATCCGATTTCCAAAAATTAAAATTAAAAGACAAAAGAAAAATTAAAAATACAGAGAGAAATCGAATTGGGGATATTATGGACAGAAAGCCAAAATGGTAATCGCAACAGTAAGGCAAATTATCAAAGATTCTTTAGACTGCAAGATCTAATTCAGAAATTCAATGCTGACAGTATCGAAATAAGTAAATACAAATTGAAATAAGCTGGAAACATTTCCGGGAGAAAATTAGGGTCCGTAGAGGTTCCTACCGTTATAAAATTATTATTTTTTACTAATAAAAAATAAAATCTTTAAGACTGTTTTTATTAATAAGAATCAATCTACGTATTTCATTTGAAAAAAAAACAAAAAACAGAAAACAAAAACAATGGCAAGAGGGATCCGTTAAGAGACAAAAGAGGTGGGCTGTGACCCTGGACCCCATACAAGTTCTCAGCGGCCCTGATTATGTTTGAACAGCAAGACCAGAAATTAGGAATTAGTTTTGAAAATTAATTACACATCAGATTGTGTTGGTGACGTAGCTTAAAACTCGCAAATGAGGAGAACCAGCCAAAGGTGTAAAGAACTTTTCCTAAGAAAATTTGAGTCCAGAAAAATTCCAACATAAATTTAGGACTCGAAAGGAGTTGAAAAGATTTGTAAAGATTGAACTTAAAACATACTGTAGTGAGTAAGTAAAAGATTCTGGAGACGATTAAGTGTAATACATTATTAGATCTGTTTATATCAAACCGGATGAAGGAGCAAATATTGGAAGATGTATTTTATCGATGAATAAGCCGAGATCGTATCCACGAAGTGATTAGCCGAATTGCTCGACAAATATGATAGCATTAAGAAATAAAGATCTAAAGCTCGCGAGAAAGAAACTAGTCGTGCAAATAACCTCAGGTAAATCTGATTAGGTAAACCTCTATAATAGTAAAGCTATTATAGAGCTTCTTCCGAGTAAGAAAGTTTTGAAGAATGTCGGATAACTGTGTTTCGAATATGGAACAGTGAATAAAGTAATTGTGGATCAGAATGAATAATATTTATCATCATACAAGGTTATCACACAGATGAATGGACATACCACCAACCTAACTAGAAATTCAAAAGCCACTATTAATTTGATACCAAAAGACTATATTACGGATTAGATGCTTACAAGAGAAACGGTATGGTTAACCCTTACCGAAAAATTACATTTCGTGCTCGCAGCTGAAGTAACAGAAGAATTTGGCGTGATCAAAACTAAAGTTGCAGTTATACCAAGTACAATACATTAAATTGAAGTCGATGTTTGTTGAACAATAGAACTATGACATTGTAACCAGATATCTGTAAACAAATACCTACTGTAGAAACTATCGGTGCGGTATAAACCCATTCATAAATTATGACAGCTCAGACAGGTTGTAAAGATAAAAGAAAAAACAAAAAAAAAAAAAAACTGATAGAGAAGTCGATTCGAGTTTCATTAATGCCACGTTACAGATACCTTTTGGATTGGAAATAGGAAATAGTAGTACCAAACATAAATTGGAACAAGCATTTGGCTATTATGATATTCTGAAAAATGTTTCAGTTGCTTGTAGCCCTCCAGAATTTGCTTTGTAGAATTTGAAGATTCAAGAGATGCTAGAGATTATATTAGAGCACTAGATAGAAAAATTTTGTGTATATGCAGAATCAGAGTAGAAATATCACCTAGTTAAATCCAAGGACTTACTAGGTGATATTTCCACTTATAGACCCTTTTCTGAACCCTTCCTCTTCCATTTCGTCCAGAGGATAAATGTTATAATTGTGAAAAAAAAGTGTCATTTTGTAAGAGATCGTAAGTGTGTTATGTGAAGACATTCAAGATCTTGTTCTCGAGGACTTTCTGCTAGTTTCAGCGAAAGCCTCTGAGAATCCGGTATCGAATCTGTCCATGAGTGAAAGGTGCTGTGAGTGTATTTTGAGTTCAATTCATGACCACTTCAAATTGGGTAGCTTGGTATTTGTGCCAAATTCAGAAGAGCCAAAATATTTGAAAAATATCAAAAACAAGGTTGTAAAAGTAATCTTGGTATTTCTTTGTTTTAATAAAAACCATGTCAGAATATAATTTACGAAGAAAAACACTCATTTGGCTCAGGCTTCAATTTACAGAGTTGAATTGCTTACATTCCTGTTTCAATACTTTTCCTTTTCAATAAAATATATAAAGAAAATCAGATCTAAAACCAAAGAAGATATCAGAAAAACCCATATGAATTGGGTTTCAAATTTTGACTTTTTGTAACTTTGTTCTGACTTTTTTTTTTTTTTTTAGCAATATACACGTATGAAGAATCTCAATCTTCGTATCACTTTAATTAACCACGTAACCTGCATCACAATTAAAATAAGCATTTAATTTGCATTTACACTTTAAATTAATTCTCTTTTTATGTAATGAACTTAATTACAGTATTTATTTTTGAAACATTTGCTTTTTTTTTAAGTAATCATAAAGTAATGGGAGTATAACCTTAAAATTCATCAAAACAAAAATATTATTTTAAATAATAAAATAAATATTTATATATAAACTTATAATTTAACATAATTAATAGTCTATTTAATATAGAAACTTATAAATTTTAGACATTTAATTTATAATTAATTTTGAAAAAAATTTAAATGAAATTCAATTAATCTCGCAGCCAAGAGTGCATTTTTGAATTCTGCATAAAATCTCGTACGAAACGAGAATTGAGGAGTAATCCAAAAGAAGGCACGCGCTAGATCATGCAAAGGTAAGAGACAGAATTTTAATTATTACGTCAGAATATGCAAACAATTAACTCATTTAGCATAGATTCGCCATTTAAAATTCTAAGTTATGTCATTTTGTTATTTTACAAATTTAAATGTCTGAAGAATAATTGCGCAGTTGAATTTTTTTAATATTATTAATATAAATTATAGTAATTAATTAACGTGTAATTGTTATAATGTAGTCCGTTATGCAAATTTTATTCTTGATAAGCTGTATTTAAACTGTAGTAGTGTTTATATGAATTTTAATCTCTAAAACAGTAATTTTAATAAATTTTATGGAAAATTTTTATAGTTTGATGATTTAGTAATACGTATAACAATGTCCATATTCACAGCAATGTTGTCAGATGTCAGGGAGATGAATAACTATAGCGTAACTTAAAAGTACTTTTTCCCTACCACCATATTAAATTCGCTACTTCAGAGTTTCAAGAGTATAGTATTAAAATAAAAATTATAATAAGGAATAATAATAGGAGGAATTTATTAATAGTTACAGACAGTAATATTTTATTGTCATAACTTAATGCTCTAAAAATATTCTACATATCTTCATCACTGCTAATGTATGCATACGATGAAGACATTGTGGATGCCGTTGCTGTTGAATGTGTTGAACTTGAAGGATAAACATGTAAGTTACAGGAATTGAATAAAGAATACATATCTTTTGGGATTACATAATTACATAAAAATACATATAGTAACATTTTCCTTCTTAAATTAATGTCCAGTTTAACTCTAACCAATGCCTCCAATGTGTCTGTAGCAGTTCTGTTTTCATTTTTTTGTTTTAATGTCGGTTACAATGGAAAATATTCTTTTTACGACAGCATTTTTATAGCTATATTTTTGTGTTAGGTGAAGAACAAAATGTCGGGTACAAAGTGTTCTGTGTATAGTTGCAATAATAATCTTTTGTTGCAGTAAAAGCTAAAAGAGAAAGTAACGTTTCATGTATTTCCTAGACAAAAGACTTGATTTCTAAAAGCATTAGGTCTGAATGGATTTTAATTTAATTTAATTAAAAACCCCTTCCGCCCATAACCCGAGATATCTCGGGCATGGACTTTAAGGGCCCCAAAAAAGAGCCTTGACATAACTTTACCGAAAATGTATGGATCAGTATATATACATCTTTATCTATCACCTATGCAAATTTCATGAAATATTTTTGCCGCGAAAAATTTTTTATGACGATTTATTAATTAGCTAATTAATTGCGCTATTTTTCTTTATGGGAGTTTTTTTATCAAATTAATAAAATCGTTCTAAACTTGTATTTCGCGGATTTGACGTCTAAAGTTTTTTTTAAATGCTATTGAATGTTTTTTGACATCAGCAGGTTTTTTGTTTTTTATTCAGTAGAATTTTTTCCCATACCTTTTTTTCAGTCCCCCCGTATTTCAATAGCATAAAAATCGAACATTTTGTGTTATATTTGAATAGATGCGGTAAGTTAGTTCCTCTCCTGCCTTAAACCAATATTACCCTGGGGCGTACATGAGAACTACCCGGAAAAGCTAACACCAGCTGTTCTCAAGGTCAACCAGTTTGTAAACAATGCAGACTGCACGTGTGAAATATCGTGCCTTATTAAATGAAAGAATAATCGGTGCAGCTATATTTATCAAATAAAATCATTTATTTTATAGCTAGTTTTTGATGTCAAAAACGACCTCCAATAGTTTTTTAATTCATTAATAAATAAACACACCTGATTTGTATTTTCCGAGTTAATTTTCTTTATTCGAACGTTTTCAGCCTATTTGTATAGGCCATCTTTCAGGCTTTAACGTTAAAGCCTGAAGATGGCCTATACAAATATAATGATGAGTTTGTGAAAATGTGAAGGAAACCTAACACATTAGAAAAAACATAATCTAGCTGAAACATATCCAAAAATTAAGAGAGAGGCCTTAAATTTGTTGTTGAGGAAATCTGGAAGTTCTCCTCAATGACAATTTAACCAGAAGTCACAAGAAAATTTGTCGATTCAGTATAAAAAAGAATGAATGTTGTAATAGAAGCGATAATATAAAATGGCATTTATTTATGTTTCTAAAGGCCATAGTAGGATAAGAATGTGTGAATCAGCCCCATTCAGATAACGAGATTAAAATTGGACCAAAAGTAGGTATCCGTGAATGATTGATTACTGCTCAATATTGGAAGAAATTTCTTCACGAATTTAGAGGTTACGTATGAAAATATTATTTTTGAATTTTTCAAAATATCTCCGATTCTTGGCGTCATTACTAGAAACGATGTCATTACTGTAACAAAACAACCTATAAATATATTGTTAAAAGTGCGAACAGTTGTAATCATGTGATCACATGTAGCCAATATCGCTAGAATGAATATTCTTGCCTCTTTTTTACGATAGTTATTTTTTCTTTGTGCGGCTATCAGTGCAGAAAAGGTATTAACTTTATAGATATACTAATTGATATCACTCATAACACTTCAGGTAATTCAAGTAAAAAATATTTTTTGTAATTACGAAATATAATTGATTAAAAATACTCATTTTTTTTAACGTTGACTAGTTTGACTTTTTAACCACATGCACTTTTTAAATCACACTATTATTTTTTTGTAATAAATAATAGTGTGATTCAAAATTGTTAGGTATGCTTATAAGTTGCTTTTTTTGTTTTAATAAACTTATATAATTTAAAATATAACAAGCCCTCGTTATATTGCGCAGGTAGGGAGACAAACTAAATGAGTGAGATGAATTTCGTATACGTTTCCATCTTAAATACGTATATTTGAAGTCAAGGCAAATTGAATCCATAACTTTTGTCTTGGGTTTGGGATTCAAAAATCTTTTCTAGATTTTTGAATCTAAATGCCTCTTTACAAAATTCCTTACTAAATTTAGGATTTTGTTTTAAAAAACGTTGTCTAACGATAATTTTTCTATAGGATCGAGGAGCAAGCTTATATCTATAACATAAAGTATTTTTTTATTAAATAGGTCTAAGAGAATATTTTAAAAAATCTTTACGTATGCAATGATTTTACAGATTTTGATGCAAGTAAGAATGTCATCTAGTCAGTTTACTGTGGAATCTTATTATCTGCCCGACCTATCAGATATGTACGACGATTGCGAGCTGTTTTGGCAAACTGCAACGGAAGAACTGCATTCTACGGAAATATGTGCAGTAACAGATGAGGACGAAAATGGTGATGGCATTGATTCGTGGAAGATTCCAGACGATTGGTTCGTTTTCAACAACGAACCAATTTTGTCGAATTCGTCCAAAGAAACCGAGGATCTTCTGAACACGTATCATCCATCCCTTCCTCCTATATCTATGGCTTTCCCTCTTCCTTCAGTTAAGAATTCTGAATACGTGGAACTTCCCGATGATGAACTCTGTCCAGAATTTGATTCACTCGATGATATTCCATTAAGTATTGTCGAAAAAGATGATAAACAAGAGGAAAATCCACAGGAGATTAACGTTGAAATCCATTCGTCAAAGATGGAACTTGAAGAGGAACGAGCTATAAGTGTACAGGGAGCTCAGGAGGTGTCGCCCAATGTAGCTTTTTCGAAATCCCCAATAAAAATGTTGTCAGTTACAGTGGAATCGACTTCGAATCGAGATAACAGTTCGTCTAAGTATACGTTTTCCGATATTTTAATCCGCGGCGATTCGAAATATAAACGTAGGAAAACTGTTCGCGAGCTGCTGTTGGATAGACAGCAGCACATGATCATCCATCGCATCTGTGGCAATAATCAGAAAATTCGAATGGAAAATTCGAAGAAGCCCATTAATGGTGTCTGCACCGTGATTCCGATAGAAAACAAGGATCTAGAATTGTTTGAAAACGATTCCAGAAAGTCTAAAAATCGTTCCGCTATCGAGTTTTCGGAAGTGTCATCTCATTTGTCTTTAAATGAAGGTAAGTTCTGTTATATTTTAGTACTTTTAACACGAGACTTGTACTTTTAACTTTTAACTTGTAATTTTAGTACTTTTAACACGAGACTTAACACGAGACTTGGGAAAAAAATAAAACAAATACATGCATTTTGGGCTTCCCTTCCAAGTAGGCCCTGTGCGGGTGCACCTTTTGCTCCTGCCTAGTTACGGCAATGGTGTCACGGAATTTAATTATATTTGGAATACATTATGAAGTAAATTATCGTGGAAAGAAATAATAATATTCATTTTTAAGTAATTTAATACATTCTACAACCTCCATGAAAGGAAAAATAATAGTAATAATAATATTGCTGTGTAAAATATATATTTTTTAAATTATCTTTGAATTACATAGAAATTTTCACAAATAAAAAAAATGCCTGAAGTTTCATTGAAAACTGATTAAAACAAAAAATACCTTTTGAATTGTATAGAAAAATTTTAAAGAAAAAAATGAAGATTACTTAAATTAAGAATTTCTGGAAGTAAAGAATCTGCCTGGAGCGGGACAAATAAATTTGTATTTAATCATTTAATTAATTCGGCTTTAATAATATGGTTTAAGGAGTTGTTTATAAACTTGCACGATTTGTACAACCTGGCGTTATGCAAATAAACTTCGAAAATTTTGCAAGGAGATTTGAGTATTAGTTGATTGGTGCTATTAAATTTTACTAGATAAGTGTCCGCAGGGGTGGGAGAGAAGAGGTCGGACTTCATGAAGATTTTACCAATGATTAGCATTTACAGTTTTTATTTTTTATAAAATCGTCTCTATCCTCAATTAAAGTTTTCACTATTTTATAATAATTAATAACGTAGAAAATTTTAATAAAATATTGTGATGGAATATTTTCGTGACCGTGTCTGTTGACAAGTATTTTGATATTTTTTCGGTTTGACATGACCTCATTTACGTTTATCTGAGATAAAGTAATCGGGTAATTCTCGATTGCCTCAGTTCCATTTTTAGAGCTCGCTGTTGCATACGCCCAAACTCGACACTTAAATTTACTGAGTAAACATTCGAATTGTTCTTCCCCCTTTTCTCCTGTCTACTGTAGTATATATTCGTTTTTAATTTTTCCTTCTGTCGTAGGGATGAAAATTTATTAATACATCACCAGCAGCTATATAATAATAGCTTTGACTTGAACTCCGTTTCTTGTCAGGTTTAGGTGTGGAAAAGAATTAATAAATTAATGAGAATTGTAGATTCTCGCAAACGCAGTACTTTATTCCACTGTTGATAAATATTTTCCATTTTTCTGTTTTCAGTTCCGAGATTCAGGCATGGAAAAGTGGATGCCAAAGAACACAGACCTCGCCATTACGAAATTGAAGAACTCAAAATAGGAAATTTTGTGGTAAGTTTTTAATTCGAGAAATTAAAAAATAATAATAAATAATTGTGTGGGTAGCCGGAGGCGAGGCCGATGTCTCGCCCCTTTCTCGGCAACATTTTGGTGAAAACTGCCTACTTGGCTTGTTTACGTCTTACGATCCGGAGGGGGTCGGGATTCTTTTTGTCAGATCGAGTGGAGGAGGAGAGAGGGGTCGTCCAGTAAGGCATAGGCAATAAACGAGTAAATGACACCATTTAACAAGAAAACTAAAAGTTTATTGAATAACAGCTAAAATTTACAAATACGAACATCAAATAATTATCGAGATTCTAACTCTCGAGTTAGATAATCTCGATAATTCAAGATAAAAAGGGGCCAAGAGAGAGTTTACACAAGTGGTTATCATACCTCTTTAATTAATTAACACTGCCTCGGAGGTTCGATTTCGTCCTTTCTTTTGAGATGCACAAATTTATAAAGTCGCAACTGGAACTCCAGATCGACCTCGAAAAAAAATAAGTTGAAGGTACGGCTCTTCCGTCAATTTCTGCGATGTAACTAGTTGGAACGTTTAGTCAGGGACTCCTCTGAGGAGGATGAATCGGTCTTTTATTGGTTCGGCTTGGGAAAATAAGTCAGGTGATTAAATGCTGTCAAAAGCAATGGTACTTTTGCAGGTGTTTAGGTCATACGTGTCCCCGGGTTCATAATAAAGTGAAGAAATTGGACGATGACTGTAAACTTATGTCTTGCAATATTAGCTTGACGATGTTGGGATGGGTGACTGTTTACATTCTTAAAGGAAGGTTATACATTTCTATAGTTGTTGAGATATTCGATGTCCTNTGGTTATCATACCTCTTTAATTAATTAACACTGCCTCGGAGGTTCGATTTCGTCCTTTCTTTTGAGATGCACAAATTTATAAAGTCGCAACTGAAACTACAGATCGTCCTCGAAAAAATATAAGTTGAAGGTACGGCTCTTCCGTCAATTTCTGCGATGTCACTAGTTGGAACGTTTGGTCAGGGACTTCCCGAGGGGGATGAATCGGTCTTTTATTGGTTCGGCTTGGAAAAATAAGGCAGGTGATTAAATGCTGTCAAAAGCAAAGGTACTTTTGCAGGTGTTTAGGTCATAGGTGTCCCCGGGTTCATAATAAAAGTGAAGAAATCGGACGATAACTGTAAACTTGTCTTGCAATATTAGCTTGACGATGTTGGGATGGGTGACTGTTTACATTCTTAAAGGAAGGTTATACATTTCTATAGTTGTTGAGATATTCGATGTCCTTTCCCGACGATGTTGTTTTCACAAGTCAGGAAAAAAATGAGGTGGAATACTTCGAAAATTATAGGAGGGGAAAAAAAGTTTCTAAAATCCGGATCTACAATTATATACCACCAGACTTAGATTTATAATATATGTTGTCAATACATTTTAGTGCTTTGCCTTGCAGTAAATGGTATATTTACGTGCAAAAATCAATCTAAATATAAATACAAACGTACTCTAAAAATTAAAAAAACTTACAAAATGATAAATACCTAATAAGTGACTGATAGAACGAAGACGTAAAAGTTTAATAATTAATTGTTCAAGTTACGTTTCTGGAAGGAAGAAATTGATGTTAACTTCTTGGGAATTTCAATTTTTGATCCTGACCTCATGGTTTTCTGTAAAGATTTTATTATCAGAAGCAGTTGGCAAAGTTAAATGTCTATTATCACTAAAATTCAAATGTTAAAGAATTTGTAGACGTGCATCTTCGTTCTTTCCACCAAGGCAAACAACAATCGGAAACGATGCTGTTGGTTCGAATATCGAAAGAGAAGTTTCTTGAATCATTTTTTTAGCAGACATCACTTGTAAAGTGTCCTCTGTACTTTTATTCTTTTGTTAATACATTTCAAATTACACGATTATCTATATAAGGGATTAATAATATTTCGTGCATTAATGGCTTCTGAATTTGTAATGAAAGGAATTTTTAAAGTTTTTGAAGGCATCGTTGTTCCTAGAACAATCTAGAACATCCTTTCTCAAAATCGTGGACGCCGGAGGCTTTCAGGGGGGCAGTAGAAGCCTCAGTGATTAAATACGAGTTTTATTTCTTCTCATTGAAACATTCTTTGATCTCAGAAATAGGATATGGGTCACATCCTATCTATCCTATCCATATAATAATGCATTTTTATACATTGTATTTGCAATAACTGTGTTTAAGATACCATCTGTTGCGTAAGTTAAAAAATATGGGGGCACTAGATTATTTTTTAATCTCAAAGTGGACGGTGGTCGAAATAAGTTTGAGAACCTGTGATCTAGAACGTCGTAAGAAAATAAGTACGTTAGAAATCGGAAAAAATAAGAAAATACAACGAAAATAAACAAACTACTTATAAGTTCCTTGTAATTCCGTCCCTGGAAAAAAGAAACGTCGTTCTGTGACATCATCTTTTTAGCTCGTTCGAGACCATTCGAATTAAATCGTTGAGAGAAACGTTATTAATTGGTATTAATTATAATTAGAATATTGGATGAAAATTTTCATCCAATTATTAACGATGGAAAGCGGAAATATTCTTCAATGCTATTAACGTCAGCACAAATATTTGAGTTGCGGTGATGTTTTGCATGTAGATATTGCCAAAGAACCCATTTATGTTTAACTGTTATCAAAACAGACAATTAAATATACATTAACCAGGGGTCGCTCTGAAAAATTTAAAAATATCGCCGATCATTTCGCCAGTTTTTAATTTTTTTCGTCACTTCAAATTATTTATCGCCACCAGTTTTACTTACTAATTAATGCAAGTGATGGTAGTCTTATCGGTTTGGCGTCTGGAAAACAAAAGTAACATGTTAAACTGTCACTTACTTGTTAGGCTGCAATTTGAAAAAAATCGTGGACCTATAAATTCCTATTGTCATTATCATCCGCCTGTCTTTCCTGAATTTCGAGAACGATGTTAGATAAAGAAATTCAAGACCAGATATGGAAACCTTGCGGGAAGAAGGTACCGATTAACTGTATAAGAACTTCTGGTGAAAGTCGTGTTATTTCAATTCAAAAACTTACCCCTGAAAAGTGTTATAGTTGACCGGCACAACTCTGTTGTTAAAAGAAAAGTATGATGTACAGGGGCAAACCACTATTAATTTGAGGTGGAAAGAATATATTTCAAATTCAATTAATTAAAAATATGATTGTCACAATGCCAAACTGCAAGTTTTTATGTCACAGTTGTGAGATAACGGGCAAGGGGGTTTGAGCCCTCTGATGGTCATCCGTTTGTTGATAGTAAAGCTGTCATTCAATCCGTGTTCGGTGCGATGTTTTCTAACGATCGGACGAATGTTAAATAAAAAATTTCTTAAAATGGATTTTAATATTCTTAGAATCCTGGATCTCACACAATGAATAAATGCTCGTTAGCAATAGTAATCATTTTTGAATAATTTTTAATGAATAATTCCGAATACCACGTTTGATCGCAATGTTTAAACAGTATTTCACATGTTATGTCAAAATTTTTGTTTTAGTGTACTNTCAGCTTGTTTCCAAAGATGGTAGCAAAATCAGCTACTAATTTTAAAGATATCATAAATCAAGTTATTATATTCAAATATTATATTATTATTATATTATATACAAATCATATTAATGTTGGACATTCTATTTTTGCTAATAGTATCCCTTTCGTTTATTAATCATTTTTCTCCAAACTTGTGCTATAATTGTAGATATCTTACTATAAAATATACTAGAAAATTTCATGAAAATAATAGAGTTTCTAGGCAAAAATTGTATGTTCTATTATTTTTGGAAAGACTGTATAATAATTTTATGACCACTGTAAATAATATATACAGTATTTAGTTCCAGTACGAGCAGCCATCTTGCAAAACAATGAAGTCACTACTAGAAACTAGCATAAACAAAACGAGCAATTTATTATGATATTGTCACAATTCTGGGCTGCAATTTCTAATAAGTTAATTTTAAAAAAATCGCGTGACTTCTGATCCCGACTGGACGTTAGTATATATTAAATCGGGATCTCAGGACCCTAAGCTTTCCGTATCTAGTTCCTATTTTCAACTCCTCGAGAATAACGAAGAACATCAGGAATGTACTGTACAGTACATAACTCACAACAATTAACAACTTAGATTTGAAACCACATAATATATGGTACCGCAAGCTTTTGATACAACTGGCCGTGTTAAATGCTTGAATGACGTCATGCGCGCGTACTTGTTTGCTGCAGCAAACCTCCACACGAGCAAGCGATCGAGTTCCCGCAAGCATCACACTGACTTAAAACGACTAGCCGCTAGCTGTCAATGTAAAAGCTAACACAAATGATAAAAGATTTTACACGTTAAAATAAATTATTGTTGACATATTTGTTCTCATAAAAAGTATAGTGACAATCAAAACTTTCTCTTAATTAAGCATGCGGCGCATGCTAAGCTAGCCCAGAGAATTCGCCCGTTTTCTAATAAACTAAACTTTTCTTGTAATTTATTGAGAATATATACACAACTAGCAGATAAACCCGGCGTTGCTCGGGCAAAAAAATAACAACAAAGATTATTAGATTTATTTCGTACTTCTAACCCTTATAGTATTTGATTTATATAACTATAAAGGTTATCTTACGTAAGGATCTAACACATTTTAAAAATTCTTTAAATTGTGTACAGTAGAGGAATAAAGAATTTTTAAAACGTATTAGATAGATTGGTCAATCGATTTGATAAACCTTTATGTAAGTTAACTATACTGTAGGTATATAAATCAAATACTATAATATAACAAACATTAAAATCAAACCATATAAAGAGTTCGGTTATTTCAGCCTACCATTTATCACGCTACAAAATGGCACAATTTCATTGATCAAGTAGACATCAATTGAAAATACGTTTCCTAATGTTGACTCTAAGATACTGTACCATTCACACCCGAACATCAAACAGTAATGTGCCAACCAATGAAATTTCGCGAAAAACGGACCAAATATTTAAACTCGGCATCCTCGAAAATCAGTTTAAACATATTTTGTGCAGGTTGGTATTACATATTGTATTGTGTAATTTTTCTATTCGAATGCTACTATACCGCTGGTCCGATAGAAAGAAGGGATGTTGCGGAAGAGGATTGAAGTAATTCGACCAAAAGTAGACGTTGACCTCCTCCCGGAAGAGAGGATGGTCAACGACTACTAATTAATATTTAAAAAGTGATCCGTGTTGGACGGGTTGTGATATAAATAAACAAAATATTGTAAAAATACGATAATTGCTTCTATGTGATGATAAAGTGTTTATATTTTGCCAACAGATTGTATGAACTAAGTGGAAGTATGTTCTAGTAAATATTGTGTTTATAGAAAAACTATTGGGCTGCAATTTTAAAAAATTGTAGACCTATAAATTTCGACTGTCCTTCCTTAATCTCGAGAAAGGAATTCGATAGATGAAAGTCGAGACCAGATGTGAAAAGCTAAGGGGCACGAGACCCCGACTAACTACATATATACAAACTTCCGATTTGTACCGCAAGTCGTTATTTCAATTCAAAAATTTTCCTCTGAAAGGAGTCAGATAGATGAATGGCATGACTCTAATGCTAGCAGGAAAAGTATAATGTACAGGGGCTTGCTAATAGGAAAATTATGTTGTACAGTACAGGGGCAAGATACTACTAATTTGAGGTGGCGAGCATATATTTTACATCAAATAAATTAAAAATTGCAGCCCGGCATTATGACAATGTTACAATAAATAATTGCTCGTTAGAATTACTTTGGTTTATTTGGTTACGGCAACGCGACAAGTAAGCGATCTGCCGAGGGAAATGCATCCCAGGAAGATTTGTATGGGAAGCTGTACCCTATTTAGGTACAGCTTCTAACGTGAAATCCGGAAAACTCCACGTGGCCGGTACGTTTGTCATGCCCCAACCCACCACTACCAGAGTTCGGTGGTTTTATCCACTCGGCTACTGGAGGGCGCTTATCAGAAATAAGAAAGTACCGTTCAGAAATGTAAAAACTCGAGTCGTTAGATATGGAAAGTTAAATACTAGACTTTTAACAGGGTACTTTTAAAGTGCTATGCTGGAAAGTTCTATCTATATGCTACCTGTTGCAGTAATGATATAGCGCGTCTATTTGGCGCTATATCATTGTCGCAGTAATTAATTGAATATATACAGTAGAGCGTCGATTTTCCGAATCAATTGGGGACTCGGGTTGTTCGTATAACTGATATTTCGGATAACCGATTTGTGTACGAAAAAATAGTTTAACGTATCCGATGTTGAAATTTTTCTCCGTTGCGTGTTGCTTCGCGTTGAATTTTCGTTGATGTTAAGCCTAACAAAGACTATTGTATCGTTAAAAATTATTTTTTTATTTTGTACAAACAAAACAAATGTATTGAAAAATATAAAAACAATTAAAATATATACTTCTTATGTTAATTTAGTATCAAAAACGTAAAATATTTGAGTAGCCCAAGACATAGCCAAAGATTGAAGCGCCACAGCACTGGCGAAAATTTAAATTTGCCGACTGGAATTCTTTCGGAAAATCGACGCTCTACTGTATTTTCTAAAATTATATCCTTTTCTATACGAATTATATTTAGTTTATGATTTTGTTCAATTTTTTGCCAATAGATGGCACTACGTGTAAATTAGCAAATTGTAGACAAATAATTTACAGAAATTCAAGATATTTTGGGGTGGAATGTACAACATTATCTAAGAAGATTGCTACGTAACTGTCGAGTTTCGTAGAAATTGGTCGAACGGATTAGGAATGTATAGCGATCATCCTCATTTAAATATATATTTTGAACAAAACAAGTAAAATACACATGGAGATATCTATACTACTATATAAAAAGACAACGTATTTTTCGTTTGTGACCACTAACCGTGAAAACTACTGAACCAATCGTTATCAAATTTTAACTGTAGCATTTTTATGACCCCCGGAATGTTTACCACTAATCAAACCTGCAGATTTTTTGTTAAACATTCATATAAATTAAAAGATATCATCTAGGATTAAGGCTTTTATGTCCAACAGATAGCGCTACGAGTATGACGCCCTAAGTTTGTTTTTCTGTGAGGATGAACTAAAGCAGATCATCTTCTATCTATATAAATAAAAATGTAATGTTCGTTTGTTCCTACCAATTCCTTTGAAATTTTCACACAATTCGAATATGCACGTGTTTTTATATAATATACATGTCGAAATTCCCCCCACTGGGGGGAGATGAACAGGATTAAGGCTTACCGTAAAGAACTCTGCTTCTATTTCTACTATTTTAGATGCGGGTTTTTGCGTTTTTGATTGCGTTTTAATAGGGTACGCCGAGAGAATGTACACTAAAAAGAAATTTTTCGAAAAATTTTCCCCCACACGGGGGAAGTGTTATACATTTATAATAGATACATTTTGAGCCACAACAACGCGTGGCGGGGTCTGCTAGTCACTAAATAAAATCAAATCCCCTTCTGTAGTGTCTCTATCTTGTCATGGTGATCTATGCTGCGGTGTCTCATCCGAGTGCTGCAACTGAGGAACACATACCAATGCAAAGAGGCAGCATTCTCTTGGGCTTTCAGCACTCTCACCCTTCGATGTTAAAACCAAAATGTCTTAAAGAGAATTCAGAACGTTGTTGTTGCAGAACTATGAATAAATACCATTCCCGATAGCTACGTATATCCCGTTTTCTCAAATCAGAATTCAGATGATCAAACTGCTAATTCTGCAGCATGGGGTCTGAAATAATGGCCAACCATACACTACTTACCGTAACTCAATGTGTTCAGCAAGTTGTTACTTTGAGTAACAAATGTATCTAATTCAACATATAACAATATGTAATTTCTAGAAATGAAAAAACTTTTTGGAACTGTAGACTGTACATTTATAAATAAAGTATTCAATAAAAGCAAACAGAAAAAAAAATTGTGAGAAAATGATGACAAATGCTTAAGTCAGCGCTGTCCAACTGGCGGCCTGCGGGCCGTATACGGCCCGCCAAACAATTTTTACGGCCCGCGAGTACATTTTACTATGAATAAATTTATGACTAAATTATTATTATTAATATTAAAATTATTTTACTACCGTGTTTTTCCGAAAATAAGACAGTGTCTTATATTAATTTTTGCTCTGAAAAATGCGCTAGGTCTTATTTTCAGNTGGAGGTCATATTTTTCTATTATAAAAGCATTTTTGCGATAAAATACATTGGAGTAAATAATTTGGTAATTATTTAACATTTGTTGTCCTTTCCTATTTGTTTTTGGCTACATTAAAGCATTTTTTTGAAAATATACAGTAAGGTTCCATATTACCACCCGATTTTCTCTAAGCCTACTTTCGGACTTTTTGTACAAAAGCCTTCAAAAACATACTTATAATTACACTAGCGAAAAATCCAATTAGGAACATTTAGTTTACTAGTTACCAGTACTTTTCGCACAAAAAATGTGGGTGTAGTTACGATACCTTGTTTACAATTCACTAAAATATAATTGGGGTTCCATAATACCACCTTCTCCTCTACCTATAAGAGCGAACTTAAAAACCAATGTCTAACGCTAGGGAAACAAACTAATTAGCCTACCATCGGCACGGAAATACGTCACAAAAAAGAGATTAGAACACAAAAACCCTCGATTCGTGTATTTCCCTATAATCGACTTTGGTTTTATTGGGCTCAGTTTGAAAAAATGTAGAGCTATAAATTCCCCCTGTTGTCTGTCCCTCATTCCTTAAACTAGCTGGCCGTATATTTTTAAGTATTTTAAAAAAATACGTTTTTTATTGCGATTTCCGACCCCCCGACTTAATTAAACTTATATATAATAAAATCTATTAATTAAAAAAATTATAAAACTATTGGAGGTCGTTTTTCATATCAGAAAGTAGCTTTAAATAACTTTATCGAAGTCAAATCCGTGCACTACAACTTTAGAACGATTAATTAAATTTGAAAAAAAAACCCCATTAAAAAACAATTAAGCGTTAATCGCGCGTCATTAAAGGTTGATTAAAATCGCGATAAAATTTTTTCGCGCGGGTAAAAATTTTTGAAAAAATTTGGAGACCTAAAAAACATTCCAAAAATTCAAAAAAAATTTCAAAAATGGCCTTGACGACCGAGTTTTTCGTAACGCTATGTAACTTGTCCGAGGTATCTCAGGCTTGGGACTTAAGGAGCCCTTAAGCCCCATGAATAAAATATTTTATTTTACAACACCATTAACTATTGATGTCAGTACTATAATATAAACAGAAATGACAGTATGATGAACTGTAGCATTGTAATTTTACAATAAATATGAAAAACAATTTACTACATCCAATTAAAGATAAGTATGACAATCCTTTCAAACATCAAAACAAAATCTATAATAATGCATTAATATTTTTGAATTTTTAATAGGGTTTATGTGTATTACTGTACTCCTTGTTATAATTTTTCCAAGATGTAAAATTGTTATCCATTCTGGAATTCCTGTTACTGGATTCATTATTGGAAATTCTCCTATAAGATTCTGCCCCAAAATCTGTATTTTGGTGTTCATATTGATAATTTGTTGTTTTTCTTGATGAAAAATGATTGTTTTGCTGTCTGGGATTATTATATCTGTTATCTTTAATATTTTCATTAAAACTATTGAAATTATTATTGTTATGAGACCTTCCTCTAAAATTATTGTCCTCACAGTGTCTCTTAAATTTATCGTTGAATAATTGTTTGGCATCATATCTGTTTGAATCATAACTTCTGTCTGACTGGTTGAAATCATCTGTAAAATTTCTTGTGTTTAAACTGCTGGTGGATGGCAATGAATTGTAAAAATTACCCTGGGAAGAATGAAATGATTGGTTAAATCTCTCTGTGCAGACTTCTGGTCTCCTCATTTTATTATCTATGTCTTTATTCATTGCATGACAAAATGAACCATCCAACAAGGAAGGAAATTGCTTATCTTGTAGATCTTCAAATCTTTCATTAAAATCATTGCATTTAACATCCTTTGAATTAGTATCATAATTTGACATAAATGAATCAATTTTCTTCAATTCCATTAACCCATCCAATCCTAATTTTTCATTTTTTATGCTTTCAGCTTTTATTGATTTCAGTACCAACTAAAAAAACAATTTTGAAATAAAGATAATGTTTTAATTGGAGACAAATAAATACAAATAATTCATTTTACCTCTCTAATGGGAACTGATAGATTTCGTAACTTATACTGGATTAATGAATGTGTTAACGAGTTTATCACCTCAGTTACTGTTTCGGCATCATCATCATTTGTAATAGTGAAATTGTTCTGAAAATAAATTGAAAAATATTAATTTAAATACTGTTAAGAAAAGTATTCAACTTAAAAATAGCTGAAATTGCATGGTGAAAACAAGAATGTTTTTCTTATATTTTTGGTAGACTAAATATTACACATTACAAATGTTGGAAATGAGATCCTTATGAATCAATATAGAGTATTTTTATATTGTTATCATGCTAAGTTATGTTAAGTTGTATTTAACAAATAACATGCACTGTACATGCCATGCTCAGGCACAACTTCCATAAAATAAGGATTTTGAAAGTACTGCATTTGTGCTTCACCATAGCAATATTTTTTAAAAATAAATAATATGGCATTCTGGTGAACAGACAAATGCAACATGTCATCAACATTCACAAACACTATATCAGCTGACAACTTGTAATATGTGAAGATTTAAAAAAAAAAAAAAAATAGTTTGTATCATGTGGGTTTTGAGAAATGCAGTATATGTTACATGTAAAATTTGAGAGAGAATATTGAAGAATGCATTAATTTTTTGATTTTACATATTGAGAAAAGGTAACTTGATACGTGAAAAAGTGATACTGTATGTGTAAGCAGAAATTTAAAAAAATGGTAACAGACATATTGCCATCTTGTTACAGTTGCAATTAGGGATGTTCCGATACTGATACCATATCGATACTTTTCTTTGATACAGAGTACTTTTTGTACTCAATACTTTTGGTCTGATACAAGTATTGATACTTTACTTTGGGTATTGGATCTGATATCATTACATGGGACACCTTCAACTGGGCGACAAAATAAGAGATGGATATACAAAATACCAAATTTTTTTGTTTTCTTTATAAAAATCACCATTCTTTTCTATTGATCTACTACCTGGTAAATTTAAATATTTTTTAAAATGAGTTAAACATTTTGTAATTTTAAAGATTTTAAAACGATTTTGTAATTAACAAACATATTTATGTTACATACATTAAAACAAAAAAAGGCATAAAATTCAAAACAAATTTTTTATTTTAAATTGATTAATTCATATTATGATTGTATGCAATGCCGTGTAAATATTCTATTATGTTTTCCATACCATAATCAAAAACTTTTCTCAAGATCTTTCAGCCAAAAATCATGTAAAATTGCTCTAAATAACGAAGTTAAATTTCTGTATAATGATTTTTTTTTTTAATTTGTAAGGACCATCATTCATTAAAAGTCAATTACTCTCTCTGGGTTGAGTTTGAAATTAGGTTCAATTTCAGGTATCAATCTGTAAACCCTTTATAAAACTGCAGCCCAGGTGTAAGAAATAGTGGTTGTTAGCTTTTAAAACCATCATGTAATATATACTGTATGTGACTACTGGTTGTAAAAAAAGGAGAGAGTAATTAGGTCAAAATGCAGTTGTTGACAGATAAATGATTTACAATTAATGAATGCCAAAAATGTTAGAAAGGTGATAATTTTGACAACTACCATACTAATTTTTGAAGCTAATAAGATTTTATTTTCTTTAATAAGTCATCCAGTTGGAATTTGAAGAACTGTTAATATAGTGTTTAAGCATTACTAAAAAAATTAATGCATTGTAGAAAGTTGATAAAGGCTCTAAAAGGAAAGACATTGTAACAAAGTTTGGAATTCCCGTGAGTAGTTTCTCAACCATAATAATAAATTACAAATCAATTTTGAAATTAGCCAATGATACGAGGCATAAAGGAAAATATGCTAGAACTTGCATTTATGACAATACAGACAATGCTGTAATGCTCTTAATAAGTGTAAAGCATATTAGAATAAAAGAGTATTTTTTTAATTCTTCTGTGCAACAAAAAATTACAATTGTTTTTACGAAAATGTGATTAACTAGGTTGTAAGTATCTTAACACACAAATTAAACTTATTTAAAATAAGCAATTATTTATTGACATCTTCACAATGCTGGGCTGCAATTTTTAGTCATTTTTTAATTTATTTCTTTTAAAATATATGCTATCTACCTCAAATTAATACTACAGTGTCTTGCCCCTGAACATCATACTTTTCTGTTAGCAATGGAATTGTGCCAGTCATCTATCTAATGCCTTTCAGGGAAAATTTTTGAATTAACCCCCAAATTGTATGCTTGCTAAGCATGCAAAAATTTTAAGTTTCTGTCACCTACTTAACTGTTGCCCACTTTGAATTGCCCAGTTGTCATGTATCCTCATTACATTTCTCACAGAAAAGATGGTCCGACTGAAACTGGATCAGAAACTGAAATAGAATTATACAGTATTTTCAATTAAGTTAAGCTCATAGAAAAATATTAACAAAATATGGTACATCAAATTTCATTTCCAGAATCTATGTATGCTTAGAGTTCTGATTATTATTTATAAATAATTATTTAGTTAAACATTACTTGCTGTACTTTTGTTTGTTAATCAACTTGGACCATCAAGAATGTTTAAAATGAACTAAAACTGTATATACTTGTTTGGACTAATATTTTTAAAATTTGAACACAATGAAGAACTTTCAATGTAGAAACACTGTTTTATTTCTTCACCAGTGATTTCTTATCCACACCAACCCATGTATAATACGAGGTACTCATAGTACCCACAGAGCCATTTAGCAGGACTGTAGAGCTAGGGCTTCCTTTGCGTACACATCACACAAGTGTAAACTAAAGTACTGACTGATGCACTGACTTCTGAACCAGATAGCCAGAATTCAATTCCTGGAGTAAGCAACTAAATATTAATTGCTGCACTGGGGCCCACCCAGCCTTCATTGTAATGAGTACAGTATCTTCTCAGCAGTAAAACAACTAGAAGGAATGTAACAGACTGAACAGCAACAACCAGCAAGATTTGTAGTTTTGATACCCAATGCTGATACTGGCCAATATCAAAGTTTTAAGATCGATACCGATACCAATACTTTAAAACTACTCATGATAACAATATCAATACTTTTGTGATATCCAGACATCCCTAGTTGAGGTGTGGCTGAGCATCTGTTACCAAAATTAATATTTTACAGACTCAAGGCAAAACACTATATTAAATGCCTTTTCCAAATTTAATTTATATTACCACATATTTACATTTTATATTTCTAAAGATACTGTAGGTTACTAAAATAATTTTGGATGATATATATATATATATATATATATCATCCAAATACAGGGTAGTAGTATCATTGTATAACACAAATGCAATACAGGAATGATTGAATGTATGCATTGGGACCACTGAAGGTAGTGTGCTATATTATTGAATAAAATGGATTTTTTCTGATGCACACTACCTTCAGTGGTCCCAATGCATACATTCAATCATTCCTGTATTGCATTTGTGTTATACAATGATACTACTACCCTGTATTTGTTGTGCAGTGAAGCATTTATCTATCATATTTGACACATGTTCTATGATCCTGTTAATAATTATTTCAGAATGCATTAAAACATAATAGTATGCATTATTTCATGTGCTACAACTTTGTAATTTGATAATATTTCTCTATCTTTATTAGAGATTGAACTTACAAAACCTCTTTCCAATAAGAGGACTATTGTTTAACATGTGCCCAACAGTATATACTGATAAAAGATCTATGGTGATTATCATGTTAGTTTCTCCAAAGAGAGCCTTTTATTACTACCTTGTATAATTATTGCACCAGAAGAAAACAAAACTTTTACTAGAATTATGTTCAAATTAAAGAATGAAAATGAATAGTAGACTTTAGATGTGTTTGGTAAAAACCAGACTATAGTTTATTGTATTAGAGCAATGGTTCCCAATTAGTGGTACGCATACCCTTGGGGGTACGTGAAATTGCATGAAGGGGTACACGCGGCAATCTAAAATCAGTCGATTTAAAATTTAAATGCATGAGATGAAGCAATCAAAAAAATAATGGGTGGACCATCAAAAATTCAGCAATTTACAAATGCACAAATTCATTTATTTATAACTAAAAATATTCTCGAAATTTCATTTAAAAAAAAATGCATTTGTGACAATACCTAAATGAAATTCTTACGCAAGAAACAAAAATTGTACAATTAACACAATTTGTGTTAATTGTATAATTATTATCATTATCATTATCATCATGTTAGCGAAGTGACAATAAAATATTTACTACCATTTTGCACAACATACCTCTGCAAGAGCAGATTTTCGGCCATGACAAACACGAAAACTAAACATCGTCACCGACTTCAACCCGAAGATGACTGGAGACTGAAGCTGACCAAAAAGCAACCAGATTTTACAAAGTTGTGCAAAGAAAATCGTGCACATTTGTCACATTAAAATTAAATAACCTTATGTTATTTTCATTATTATTAGAATTGTATTTTAAAGGTAATAAATGTAAAAAAACTTATTCTATTTATCACTAGCTGTCTACCTACAGCTTTGCTTGCATTATATCAAATTTTCTTGTGGGAGTAAGATATTTTCTCACAGTAAAATGTAGCCTATGTCCATTCCAACATGTAAGCTATCTCTGTGCCAAATTTTTTTAAAACCTGTTCAACGGTTTAGACGTGAAAAGGTAACAGACAGACAGGCAGAATTACCTTTGAATTTATAATAATTATTAGTATGGATTAATATGAATTTCTGCTATAAGGGGTATGCGAGTTTGAGCTCTTTCTTGAAGTGGTACGCAGGAAAAACTAATTGGGAACAACTGTATTAGAGTAATATTATATTTTAATCTCAGATTATTCATTACTTGTAGCAATTATCAATAAATAGTTTTGTATGTCATCTCTATTGTAAGTCATTCAGTTTTTAAGAAAAGAATTAGAGTCCCTCAAACTCAATTTAGTGTGTACTGAAGAGATAACGAGTTATTGAAGATGACATTTTACAGCATAGTGATGATGCTAAATAGCAAAATTTTCAAAGCTATTGTATGTGCAAATTTATATATATATATACAAGTGAAAATTTCTATTTGTAGTTAAATTTTAATTTTAAAAAATATTATGTATTCAGTAGCTACTTTGGGGTTTTTGACATTTGCCTTGTGACATTTTGCAATGGCATCTTGGAAAAAGGGTTATATTCTGTTTTAATACATGGAATTGATACTATTATCAAGTGTTGCCAGTGAAGAATAACAACTTGTTTGATCTTAGTGTTAAGTTATAGTAGTAAAAATTAATTATTTTTTTTTCAATGACACAATGAGTTTTGTGGAATTCAAGTTATCATGAGTCAAGTTTCCAGGACTCTGTTTTGATGTANATATGAATATTCTAATAAATGGAAGAAGAAACAAAGTCTTTGAAAATAATTTTTATACTGATAATAAATTAAATAAATACTCAAGAAAAATATTTAATTATTGTCGGAAGAAAGGAAGCAATACAATTATTACATTCTTATTTTGTCAAATAGACTAGCTGTTATCATGTAAGGCCATAGTTTAATGTGGATTTAAAACTAGGTTGAACAAACATTTTTTATGCCAAAATGAAAACTGCAGCTGATAAATACAAGCCCTCTCTTATTAAAATTCCTTCAACAATTACAGATGAGCATTATTAATAATTTATTAGTATATTATTAGGGCTATTGATTTAGTGCATAAGAAATACATAAGTTTCTCTAAAAATTTTGTTTTCAAAAATCTCATAACTAAAAAATGTTATTTTTATTAAGAAAGTATATGAAATTTAATAGTTAAGTTGATGTAGAAGGATTTCCAGGGTCAAATCAAGCACATTTTAGTAACAATAATCTTGAATCATCTTCAAATTGTCTTCTTGATAAAACGATGATATATATATATATATATTCAGAATTAAAATGATAAATATATTTTAATCTTAACATATTTCGTTAAGTTCAATTCTTCAAATATACAGCAGAGATGCCAACTGGGAAAAGGGCTATCAGTAGTGCAAGGTCATATGTCATGATTGGAGAGGGGGAGTAATGTCACTATCCTTGATTCTTCTGATATGATGTTATCATTCCAACTTTAAGATACTTCCACTATCTTAATTTTATTTTAAAATAAGTTCTAATGTTTTCAAATTATGATGCTAAATACAAAAACAGATGGCTGGACAGCCAAGCAGTTATGGTGGTAGCTTACCACTCTGGGGGACCTTGGATCAATTCCAGACAGGTAAAACCCTTGGAATCTTTCAGAGGGTTTTCTGTCTGGATATGTTGAGTCCTATCCCTCATCATCTGGATGCCTCACTGTGGGTCCCTGATAGGCTTTATAATAAGGTCCTCTTAGTGTCCACAAGGCAGAAAGAATTAAAAAAAAACATTTGTTTTCTGTGGCAATTTTAAATGCAAATAAGGCATCTCACAGATATCTTCAGTTGTCTTATATTATTGACCAGTTAATGTAAAAATATGGCATATGAGCATTAGAAAAATCTGATTGGTGATATGCTCAGACTACAGAATCTATCCTTCTCCTTCAGACTGACATAACCATAAGCATAAGCAAAAAAGATTAAGACAGAACTGAATGAAGTTGTCTCATGCTGGTATTTGTTTCAAATTAGGGAAATAGTTAATTAAGCAAATACAGTGCTTAAACTGAGGACTGTTTCCCAATTTGTCAAAAGGATAGAAAATAAAGAGGAGGCAGAATTCAATGATTACAAATGGAAATTAATGTATAAACGTATACTCTGCCATGTAATGAAAAAGACCTCTTCCATTCAACTGCCTCTTACATACATCATAAAAGCAACTGAAGAGATTTATAGATGCCAAGATAATTGCCAAATATAATGCTCTATCAGCATAAGTTGTTGAATAATGTAACAATTTTAAGATTTATTAAGTATAGCAGCATCAATTATTAAATTTAATTATTATTTTATTTCATAACATAATCTAAATATTACTTACTCATTAAAAGAATTGCCAAAATAATTTTGTCTTTTGTTAGAAGGATAATTACCACTGGTTTTTCTTTTTCTTGGTTTTATTTTATTTTTTTCACCAAAAGTATTTCTGGAATTTTCTACAGAAATTAATTTAAGCTATTATATTTTCATTATTGTTGTCAAAATAATATTAAAAAATTATAAACACAATAAAAAACAAGTACAGAATATATTATAACTCAAAGTTAAAAGTATCACAGCTGGAATGCAAAATCAAGTTTTCATTCCACAATAAAAAAAGTCATTCATTCTGTTGTAATTTAAAGGCACAAAATTTTAAATTCTATTTCCAGGTTAAACAAATTACAAGTAATGTACATTTTCTTTGCAATTACTGGCAAAATAACATAATATATGATGAACTTCTGTATTTCTACTAAACACTCTTTTTCTGTATTTTTCTATATAACTTACACTCAAAAAAGATTCTACAGTTTTAAATGTTGTGGTAAACTTACATTTATCACTTGAAGTTCTTGACAGAACTAATGAAAAGAATATCTAACTGAATAATAAATCATTTTTCGATCATTTACTCAAGTTAAATATTTTGAAAACTATTCAATTGAATCTTTTCATACACATAAAAATGTCAGTTTCTCATTAGAATATGAATATTCTAATAAATGGAAGAAGAAACAAAGTCTTTGAAAATAATTTTTATACTGATAATAAATTAAATAAATACTCAAGAAAAATATTTAATTATTGTCGGAAGAAAGGAAGCAATACAATTATTACATTCTTATTTTGTCAAATAGACTAGCTGTTATCATGTAAGGCCATAGTTTAATGTGGATTTAAAACTAGGTTGAACAAACATTTTTTATGCCAAAATGAAAACTGCAGCTGATAAATACAAGCCCTCTCTTATTAAAATTCCTTCAACAATTACAGATGAGCATTATTAATAATTTATTAGTATATTATTAGGGCTATTGATTTAGTGCATAAGAAATACATAAGTTTCTCTAAAAATTTTGTTTTCAAAAATCTCATAACTAAAAAATGTTATTTTTATTAAGAAAGTATATGAAATTTAATAGTTAAGTTGATGTAGAAGGATTTCCAGGGTCAAATCAAGCACATTTTTCAGGTAAACTATTTAAACAAAATAAGTTCTAATCAATCACAATTTTATCATAAAACTTACTGCATTGTAAGTCATAATTTTGTGACAGTCAGATAACTAAATTAAAGTGTCAATCTATATTTTTAGAGAACTTGAAATCAAACTGGAATGGGCAATTCCAGGAATTTTTCATAAACAGAGATATGTCAGGTCCCACATCCTTCATCACCTAACCACTTATGGGCTTGGTTGAATCCATGACAAGTATAGAATAAAAGCTCTCTTAGTGCTCAAAGAGCAAAAAGTCAAAAAATGAAAAAATATTGCAATTTTGCTTTATAATTAGAATTGTTTTTATGATTTCAATGAATGAATTGTTTTCAATATTTTATCTCAACTTCTCTTTCAGCCACAGGAAATTCATGAGTGAAAATAATCTTTCTATGGAAGCTACAGTTCCTGAAAAACAAGAAACTAATTTTATCAAATTATTAAAATTTTGATCTTATTTCTAAACCTCAATAAGTATTTCGACCCATCTGTCAAGTTACATTAATTTTTTTTCTTCATTCCATTTCTTTGAATATTTACTCCTTTCTAAACTGCAGTTTTATAAAATACTCACTCAAAAACCTTTTAATGCAGTATATATAACTTTATTCTAATGTTTTTTATTGTTTTAAATGATCTTCTTCAGGAAAAACATTCCAATAAGAACAAATGCCTTTAATCTAATATTTTTAAGTGAATATTCCATTTCTTTAAGTGTTTGGTTATTATTTCTTTATTAACCCACATTGATTGAATAATTACATTCCATCTATCTTTGTTCATATAGTATGTTCTTTAAATTTGCTGAAACTATTCTGTATTTCTTGCCATCCAAGAATCTTCCTTAGCAGTCAGTATCCACTCAAATTCATGATCATTATCAATGCAGAATGAACATTTTCTAACAAATCATAAGTTTTGAATACAATATACAAATGTGTTTAACATGCATATTTCATTTTTGCATAGTATATGAAAGTGGAATTTTTTCAAATATGACAGGATAGCTAGGACAGAACAAAAAATGATACTGTCCTGATCAAAATGAGCCTATGTATGATCAGCCTACTTAAGATGTCTCTTTTACACAAGTTTATGTAATTTAAAGCCCATACTTAATATTGTGCAAGGTCTAGGTCCTCTAAGGATCACCAACCAAATGGTCTGGATGGTAAATATATTTAGCCTCCTGCTCTGAAAGATCTAGATTTAATTAAATTAAATCCAGATCGTATTTCAGATATTTTAAGGGTGATCAGACTCAGATATGTAAACTGGATATGAAGATCAGTTTTTCTTCCTCATTAACCAGTTATCCCGCAATAAGGTCTTTTATAAATGTTTTTGGTGTCACAGGTCAAGAGGAATGAAGGCTAGGATTCTGAGTATTTGATCAAGAACAAATATATACAGTATATAAGTTTATACAAGGTAGTTCAAAAGGTTTGCAGAAAAGTTTATTTTCTTAGTAAATGGAACTATAGACATTTAGATGACCTGATAAATGTTAAAATAAGAAGTTTACTAGCAGAAAAGTAAAAGTTTTGATACTACTGTATTATAATGTATTTCAAAATTTAATAATATAAAATCATTTAAACATAAGAACTTACTTGTGTTAGATAATTTTGATGCAATTCTTTTTACATGAATAACACCTTGACCTCTTTCTTTTTCAAGTTTTGAAGCACACAAAACAATTAATTCAGTTTGATCATGTATTTTATGCTCTTTTATCCTGTTATATTCTTCTTCATTTATTGTTTTCTATTTAAAAAACAAATTTAAAAATCCATTATAAATGTATATTTTAGATACAGATCTGCTTAATTATAACCACTGAAATGTTTATTAAAAAGTTATTTTATTTAATTAAGTAAAAATGTTTCAGACTGCATCCTTAATAAATATATAAACGGCAATAAGTATATCAAAAGTTTCAAACATATATTTTAACATATTTTTATACTTTTAATTCTGCATGACAGAAAGTACAAAGTACAATATGTTTCAACAATATTTATACATCAGTATACACACTGAGTTTGCAAAGTAATTTTCAATTGGACAAAATTTTGCTTTATTATTTAAAAAATTTTTATAATATAAAAATTATCATAATTAAAATATTGAAAGTCAAGTAATAAAGAAACTGTATTATTTTCAAAAGAAGGAATTTGCATAAAAGAAAACTAAGCTTTCTACCTCACTTAGCTTTCATTATTTTAAATAATTTAAAGTCACCAAATTATATCTGAATTAATTCATCCAACTATAATCTAATGAATTTTGAAAACATTTAGAATTTAAGTGATTTTATAGTTATTAATTTATTACATTCTATTTTTTTCAATTCTGCTGTTTTGAAAGATAAATATTTTACTTCAAAGCTTTATATTATATCAAAATATATTTCAGTTTAAAAACTTAATTAAAATTGTTTTAAAAGTTAATTTTTTTATAAAACTTTCTTACTGTCAGGAGTAGTGCCTCAAACAAAAATAGAACAAAAATTTCAAATTTTTACAACTCTTCAAATATTGTATTTTAATAAAAGAGAAAACAATAGAAGTCATACCCTAAATATTTTTTGATATGAAAAAGCTAAAATTTTTACATGAAAATCACTTATTCTTTTATGTCAAATATTAGAGACAGAGAAAATCAATCCTACAATAAAATTTTATTTCTAAGTAAGCCAGCAAAAATTTTTATATATTTCAATCAAAAATTCACTTGTGATTTAGCAAAAATAAAATTTTATCATAAAAAAAACTGAGTTATAAATTATAAGATTTTAAATTATCAGGTTTTTTTAAGTGTAGTTATTTATTGAACTAATTTATATTTCCAATAATTCAAAAATTTAAAACTTCATTAACAGTATTTATCAGAAAATTTCAATTGAAGAAATTCCATAATTTCTAAAAGTTTCTTGATATAAGAATCAAGAAATATCAAGTTTTCTGTAAATTTGAGAATTTCTGGAACAGCTACCAGCCTGCTACTTTAAAATTTTGTTTAATTGTAGTAATAATAAATATCTTAATAATTTTCATTTTTGATTTTTTGTCTAAGCACTTAAAAGTGCCTTTTTTTGCATGTTCATCATAAATTCAGCCAGGTTTACAATAGAAAAGACAAGAACTGATATATCTGAATTAAGCCATCCATAAAAAATTCTGAGATGACCAGAATCAAAAGTCAAATCCCTTAGAATATAAAACCTTCATGATCTAGCTCATGTAATAATAAACATGAAAATTTACATCTGTAAATGAAACTTACCAAATAGTTTAACCGATGATTGTTGCTAACAATATGTTCTACAATTATTTGACCAGAACCTTCTGCTTCACATAAACTGCATTCATATTTTGGTTCAGAATCTGGTATTTGCAATTCAATAATATAATTTAAGCCTGTAAGAAATACATATATATTAATTTCAATTATTTAAAAGCATATAAATTATTTCATTTAATTAATCTGCAATTACACCAGTTCCTGCTTTATTATAGAAAAAGAATCAGTTTTAAATAGATACAAGTACTTTCTTCACTCATCTTTTTAAAGTTTTTTTTTTATTCCAATAAAGTAGAAACTGGTGTAATTGTTAATCATCATGAACTGGAAGTTACTTAATATTATATTAATCCACAGAATAATCATAATTCAAATTCATTAAATTTATAGCAAAGTCATTTTATAGAAGTGTTGAAATCTAACATTTATAAAAAGGATAATAGAAAAGAATAGAAATAGTGTGTAATAATTCAAATTTAAACATTATGGATATAGTTAAGTCTTTTTATTTTGTAGAAATCAATTTTAAAAATTATAACAATAGCTACTATCCTTAAGGAAATCCATAATACAGTCTCTGCAAATAATTTTTGTTTACTATAATTTTTTTTTATTTTCTTAACCCTTTCAAATTCATTAGACTTTCATTGTACTATTCCAAAACACTCACTGCCAACTTTAGTCACTCAAGGTCATTTCACTTTTATTATTTAAAAAATTTGTGAAAAATCTAGTTTTTACTGCAGACACACAAAAAAATTCACATATATAAACTATTTATTGTAGTTTGTTTTTGCTAGCATAAAAAATGTATTTAAATAAAAAATAATATATCAGGAATGAGTTTGTATGTTATAGTTTCCAACAATTTGATTACAAAATGAAATTTTTCGATTATATGATTGATCTTCATGAGTAAACCTGTATGAACAGCAATTTTGTTCTGTACATTTTGATATAAAATTTATGCATATTGCCTTATTTGATCACAAACTACATTACTTTATATGAAAAAAGGCTTTCTGTTAATTTCTGTATAATTTCTGTTTCACGTTTCTAAGGTAAATTGAAACACTTTATTTTAAAAATTTATTTTTTATTATAGACAGTTGAAAAATTTTACAATTATATATATATATGTGTGTAGTTTATTTTAATTTCACATAGGATCACTAATTATATAGAGCTAAATATAATTAGTTTCACAACAAAAAAATAGTTAAAAAATACTTCATATTTTTCTGCCGGGTGAAATCAGTGACAGTTAATTACTCACAGGCAAAGATCGAATAATATAATTTGAAAAATGCACGAAAAATATCCAAAGATGCACTCAGAACAAACTCAAACAGTCTTCTTGACACAAAGAAATTTCCCGCTTGAAAAAATATATATACTCGAAAATAAAATGCTATCTGGTAGCAAATACGTGAAACACAATGTATAGAATAACACATAGTAATGTAGTGCCATCTAGGAATGGAATTTTTCATAAAAATGTTACTTTTTTAAATTGTCAATAGATTGTCAAGTGATTGATTTCAAAACATATTTCGTGATGATGTATCGTCAAATGATCATATAAGGGTTAAGGTTACCTAAATTTTTTACATTTGTTTTAACTTTGAGTAAATTTAGATTCAACATTAATGATGCCAGCAATGCTAACAATTATATAAAATAACATAAGCATTTTGAATTGTTATTTAACATCCTCATCATTGATATTTGCTTACTCATAAAACAGAAATAAATGACAAGAAAAAATAATCATAAATCTTACTCAAATTCATAGATACACAAAGTACATCTAATTCTGTTTTATATGATTTTGATTTAACATGATCCAGAAAAGACACTCAGTTCTCTTTTCAACATGCGATTTATTTTGATGTAACACATTCCAATAAATATGCTTTTAAAATCGTCATTTAATTTTAATTTTAAGAAAAAGTATTCATATTTGCTTTTCTAGGTAATTACTCTTGATTAAAACATTTCTTAAAATTTGCATTTAATGCTACTAAACATGCTCAACTATACTTCAAGATTTCGCTGGCTTTTTTTTTTTTTATGACTTATTCCAATATATGTAGTGATAATCAGTCTTTCAATCTAACATTATCCCATGATTGAAGCAGTCAGAGAAATTTAATTTGAAGTTTGATGATTTGCTTATGCTTCTTCTAATCTCTTTCAATATGAAATAGTTTTTGTATACCATTTGGTGTTAAATAAAATTAAAAGTTTTTAAAATAAACTTTCTGTAAATCATATAAATGCACAAAGTTTAAATTTTGCCAACAAGAAAGTTACAAAAGTCCCTTGTATGATTTATTAACTAAAATTGAAATATTTTGTTTAAATACACCTTATTATATTAATTAGTTTATCATATTATTTTTACTGATTTTAAGATCTGGAACCAATCCTTCATTTTTCCATAAGAATGGGGTCTTTTTTACATGAATTTTTCAGAATGTATCTACTGGACAAAAACAAAATTGAGTATATTATTGAACCTTTGAACATAAAAGTGGTACTTTTATCTTGTATTAGTGGGCATATCCAAGGGAATGACATCTCAGTTAGCCAAGAGAATACTACTGATATATTGCCAAAATTGTTTTTGGATCTTCTCTTGCTTTTTTATCATTAAGGGATTTTAAGTTTGAATTTTGGAAAATATGAGAAGAATGGATTCACAACTGATGACCAAATGCTAGTGATTTCTTTATACAATATCAAGAAATAATCTTTGTTTGTTACTGTAAGATATGAGTTTGGAGTACGAGCTCCCCCAATATAACCAAAAAAAGTGTAGAATATATTGTTCTAAAATATTGGGTTGTTCGGAAAGTAATTTCGTTTTTTTTCCGTTGAAAAAAAAAAAACAATATTTTTATAATAAATAAATATTTTATTGAATTATATATCGATCATTTTGGTCAAATACCTGTTGTCATCATTTCTGGTAGTAGCATGATTACACATTTATAAAAGTTTTGATCGTTGCTTACAAAAAAACTGATCCAAGTAATTTTTGACATTGTCATTTCAAGTAAATGTCTTACAGTTAAAAAAATTGCATAGACCGGAACAAGTAATAATCTGAGTGTGCTTGATCTGGCGAATACGGTTGGTGTGATAGCACGTCCCATCTAAGTTATAACAATTTCTGACAAGTTACCAAACTTGTGTGAAATTTGACATTATCGTAGTAAAACACTACACCTATTTTGTTGATCAATTCTGGCCGCCTTTTCTGTTTGATGATATTACTCAATTTGTTTACTCGATGGCAGTACACTTTCGAATCAATTGTTAAATTGTCTGGTAAAAGCTCCAAAAAAAAAA